CACCGCATGTCACGATCAAACTTGAATGCCACCGGCCTTTTTGGAGGTCAAGAGTCTTATTCTCAATCTCCTCTCATTTTTAATAAAATTCAGTCGATTTATCCAGCGGTCTTACTTTCCCTGTGACGCGACGACGTCATCGACGCAGCAGAACTGCTCTACACAACTCTCTCTATGTCCTGGTGGCCTATTCGATGATTTTAATTAGCCGAGTATCCACGTAAGAATCTTGCATCCAATCTTCTCTGGAAAAAACGTAATCCGGCAGAGCGCAAAGAGCAAAATTCCGTTTTCTTGGAGCCTCTTTCTTCCTAGACCCTTAAAATCCGTCATGTTAATCGTTTTTGGCTATAGAGGTATCAAGTCCGTCTGCACAGTGCTCGTATCCCACAAGAAGCAATGAAGCCTTTTCTATCACCTGAAAACAGAAATCTATTCCTCTGGGCTTTCAGACAGGAATGCGGGCAGCAGAAAATGGACAATGTGTTAACTCTTGTTCAGCCAGTCAATGACAGGTAGAAATTATGTGAACATGGCTTCCCAACATTTGATATGCCAGCTGCAAATAATGGCGGTGGCTCACTGAGTTCGCATCACAGCTTGGGGTCTCGACTAACTCCCGGCCTGCCTTGCTGGAAGTTCGGTCGTTCATTCGTGTGCCCACGAAGCTAGGGCCATGACCAATGCTCAGGATATAGGTGACCACCTCTGCTGTTATACGCTGTGTCTCTGGAGATAAACTCCTATACGAAATCGCAAGTTCAGATGACACAAAAACCTTTGTTCGCCATTCCAAACTCCTTCTTCGTGAGAATACTGTGATTTTTTAGTTTTATGTCCCAGAGAGATAGCGCAAACGCTTAAAGGTGTAGACAGTCATTGGAGGCAGTCTGAATAACATAGTACATGTAAAAGCAAACATTGTATCCGAGGTCATAATTTAACATTGAACCACAGCTCTGACATCTGGATTGCTAGTTTCCTCGGCAAATGTTATTTGCGCATTAGACCATTCTCGCAGCAAACGGGAAGATCCCTTGCGTAAAGACTTCAGGGGTTTTTCCGGAAACAGAAGAGGCGCCATTCAAGCCTATGGTATCCGTTCCTTCAGCAGCTTATGTGGATAAGTATTGCGTGTTTTAGCTCTAAATTTGATTTTAAAAAAAAACAGACATGAACGACACTTGAGGGACAAAGTTTCACGATCATATAATTGAAGACCACCGTTGCACTTCATGTGTTGCTAACACAACCCTCTCTGCTCCTTCAAAGCTTTGCTGTTGGGCTCGACTATTTTGCTCTTGTAAATGAACGCATGGTACCTTGAATCTACTACAGCAATACTTACGTCGTGAAACTTCTTCTATGAGCACCGCTGGTGAAAGGCTTTAAATCACTAGACTCAGTATAATATTCAGTTGCGGTATCTTAAATCCATCTACTCCTAGCATAACTCATATTGCTAGTCGAAGCAATTTCTAAGAAGTTGTTCATAACAATGATATGCAATCGCTAGAAGAAGAAGTTTAGTGGCCTAACATTTTGGTTTCTCACACGATTCCTTACTTGAGACTGCCGCTGATGGTAAACTCTATGTGGAATCAGAAACGTCAAACAAAGATAACTCTAGTTCATGTGGACCC